TAGGATTACAGGCTGAGCCACCGAGCCTGGCCAGAATCTTAGCTTGATCACTTGTGTGTGCAAAGGGGATGATGACACCTTGTACTAAGGAAAAAAGGATATTTGCAATAGCCTGTTACTAATTTTTAAAAAAGGTCTGTATAAACATGTGTGTGTAAAGCTGTAAAAATAGGTTATGTACTATACGTAGATGCATAGAAAGGGTTCTGGAAGGATATGCACCAAACTGGACAGTGGCAACAACCCTTCAGAAAAGAGAGTTGGAATGAGTTAATGGGAAGATTCACAAGTTGCTATCAATAATTTTGTATTAATTTTTTACAACTTCATGTTATTAATATAATTATAGTTGTATAATTAAAATCAATAAAGGCAAAGATGCATAAGATGAAAGATATATAGATATAAGCAATATGTGTTAGGTGACAGATATTTTGCAAAGATGACCACACCAACATATATCTCATTCCACATGCTTTTCTTTTCTTTTTGAGTTGGAATCTCACTCTGAGGCCAGGCGCAGTGGCTCAAAGCCTATAATCCCTTTGGGAGGCCGAGGCGAGAGGATTCCCTGAGCCCAAGGATTCGAGACCAGCCTGGGCAACTTGACAAGACCTCATCTCTACAATAAATCCAAAAAATTAGCCAGGTTGGTGGTATGTGCCTGTAGTTCCAAGGCTGAGGTGGAAGGATTGCTTGAGCCCAGCAGGAGGTACCTGTGGTGGCCATGAGTGTGCCACTGCACTATAGCTGGGGCAATAGAGTGAGACTCCAACTCAAAATAATAATTATTATTATTTGTAGAGCAGGGTCTTCCTATGTTGTCCATGTTAGTCTCCAGCTCCTGGCCTCAAGTGTTACTCCTGCCTTGGCCTCCCAAAGTGCAGGGATTACAAGAATGAGCCATCATGCCCAGACAACTTTTTTTTTTTTTGAGTTAGAGTCTCACTCTGTTGCCTAGGCTGGAGTGCAGTGGCATGCCATGCTCACAGCCACCACAGCCTCGACCCACTGGTCTCAGGTGATCCTTCCACCTCAGCTTTCCAAGCAGCTGGAACCATAAGCACACACCACCACGGTCAGTTAACTTTTTGATTTTTTTTTGAGTTGGAGTCTCACTCTGTCACTCATACTAGAGTGCGGTGGCCATTCCAGGCCACTGCAGCCTCAACCTGCTGGGCTCTGCGATCCTTCCAGCTCAGCCTTCCAAGTAGCTGGAACTACAGGCGCACGCTACCACGCCCAGCTAATTTTTTGATTTTTTTGTAGAGATGAATTCTTGCCAAGTTGCCCAGGCTGGTCTCAAATCAGTGAGCTCAGGCAATCCTCTCACCTCGGCCTCCCAAAGTGCTGGGATTATAGACTTGAGTCACTGTGCATGGACTAACCCAGACAACTTTAAATGGCTTTTATCATTGTGATTTTTTTCTTTCTGAGTCAGAGGCTCACTCTGTTGCCCAGGCTGGAGTGTTGTGACATGAACACGGCTCATCACAGCCTCAACCTCCTGGGCTCAAGTAATCCTCCTTCCTCAGCCTGTCAAGTAGCTGGGGCAACCATGTCCAGCTACTTTTTTAATTTTTTGTAGAGATGACATCTGGTCATATTGCTCAGCCTGGTCTTGGAACTACTGGACTCAGGCAGTTCTCTCAGCTTGGCCTCCCAAAGTGCTGGGATTACGGTCATGAGTCACCGTGCCCAGCCAATATTTTAATCACAATTTTTTTTTTTAATTTTTTTTTTGAGTTGGAGTCTCACTCTGTTGCCCAGACTGGAGTACAGTGGCTGCTCTCGGCCACCGCAGCCTCGACCTGCTGGGCTCCGGTGATCCTTCTGCCTCAGCCTTCCAAGTAGCTGGAACTACAGGTACGCGCTACCACGCCCGGCTAATTTTTTGATTTATTGTAAAGATGAGGTCTCGCCAAGGTGCTCAGGCGGGTCTTGAACCCTCAGGCTCAGGCAATTCACTCATCTCAGCCTCCAAAGGTGCGGAATTACAGGCTGAGCCACTGAGCCCGGCTTTTTATCACAATTTACTTTTGGACAGTTGGAATGCTGTAAACTCTTTCCTGTTAAAACCAGTGATCCTGCCGGGCGCAGTGGCTCATGTCTGCAATCCCAGCACTCTGGGAGGTGAAGGCGAGGACTGCCTAAGATCATGGGTTTGAGAGCAGACTGGGTAATTTGGTGAGACCTCGTCTCTACAATAAATAAAAAAAATTAGCTGGGTGTGTTGGTGTGTACCTGTAGTACTAACTACTTAGAAGGTTGAGGTGGAAGGATCACCTAAGCCCAGCAGGTTGAGGCTGCAGTGGCCATGAGCGTGCCACTGTACTCCAGCCTGGGCAATAGAGTGAGACTCCGATTAAAAAAAAACCCAAAAAACAGTGTTCCAAAGCGTATATATGTACACATATTTTATGCATATTCTTACATTTTTTGTCTTAATTTTAAAATAATTATTTCCACCGGGCTCAGTGGATCAGCCTGTAATCCCACGCCTTTGGGAGGCTGAGGTGAGTGGATTGCCTGAGCCCGCGGGTTCGAGACCTGCCTGGGCAGGCAAGATCTCATCTCTACAATAAATTAATAAAATTAGCTGGGTGTGGTAGCACACGCCTGTAATTCTGGCTATTCGGAAGGCTGAGGCGGAAGGATTGCCAGAGCCCAGCAGGTCGACTCTGCGGTGGCCGGGAGCGGTCATTGCACTCCAATCTGGGCAACAGAGTGAGACTCCAACTCAAAAAAAAAAAAATAAATAAATTATTTCCAAGGGAGAAATTGCCACTAGGTAAAAATATTACTGTTATAATCAGTCCAAATATATATATATATACATTTTTTTTCTTTTTTTTGAGTCAGAGTCTGTTGCCCACACTAGAGTGCAGTGGCATGCTCATGGCTACCACAGTCTTGACCTGTTGGGCTCAGGTGATCCCTCTGTCCCAACTTTCCTAGTAGCTGGAACTACAGGCATGTGCCACCACCTCCAGCTAACTTTTTGATTTATTGTAGAGACAAAGAATCACCAAGTTGCCCAGGCTGGTTTTGAACCCTGAGCTCGTGCAATCCCCTCACCTCTGCCTTCCAAAGTGCTGGGATTACAGGCGTAAACCACTGTGTCTGGCTCCAAATATTTATTTAATAGTATCATATTGAAAACAAGGTTGAGCTGGGCTTGGTAGCTCACCCTGTAATCCCAGCACTTTGGGAGGCTGAGGTGAGTGGATTGCCTGAGCTCGCGGGTTCGAGACCCGCCTGGGCAACTTGGCGAGACCTCATCTCTACAATAAATCAAAAAATCAGCCGGGCGTGGTAGCGCGCGCCTGTAGTTCCAGCTACTTGGAAGGCTGAGGTGGAAGGATCGCCGGAGCCCAGCAGGTCGAGGCTGCGGTGGCCGGGAGTGACC